CCACCATGCCCGGCTAATTTTTTCTATATATTTTTAGTTGTCTGATTAATTTCTTTCTATTTTTAGTAGAGACGGGGTCTCGCTCTTGCTCATGCTGGTTTTGAGCTCCTGGGCTCAAATAGTCCGCCCGCCTCAGCCTCCCAGAGTGCTAGGATTACAGGCGTGAGCCACTGCGCCCGGCCCTAGAGATCATAATTTTAATCAAATCCATTAGAATGGAAAAAGCCCCCAAATTTACTGGTACATTAATTTGTCTAATTAATGACACATACCATTCTTTCACAATGCTCAATAAAACACTAAGTAATTAACATTCAGCAAGAAGTAAAGTCAGTACTTGTTTTCACGGTCATTTATACTGCCTATTCCAATCCTTATTTTTCTCTTCCCCCTAGTTTGTGCATTCCCATGGCACTCACAATCTGTATATAATATTTGTTTATAATAATAGTACCATTTATTGGTTACTTTTAATGTATCTGATACCATGTCAAGGACTTTAAGTATATTACCTCATTTAATTCTCACATTAACCAGATGTATTTTATCCCTATTTATAGATAATAAAACTAAGTCTTAGAGGTTAAGCAACTTTTAAGATTGTACAAGTGTAAGAGGTAGAGCTGGAATTCTGGGCCAGGTCTGTTTGACCCAGAGCCTCTGCACACTTTCTAGAGCATTCTGCTTCATTGTCACTTAATTATACCTGGTGGATTAACAAATGGGTAGATGAATTCCAAAAGTTCACTTCAAAGGTCGTATGGAACTGGAAAGATATTTCTCTGAAGAAATGTTGCAAATATGGTTGGGTTGTCAGCATGCTCAGAAAAATCTACCTAAACTCCAACATAGCTGAACTCAATTAGCCTCTCATTTTCACTTAGAACGAGGGAATCTCTCTCAGTAGAAAGCAGTCTGTAGAAAAGATTCTCTTTCTTTCTTATCTTGAATATAATTTCTTCTTCCTTTCCCTTCACTGCTGCTTTGACCAATGCTCTCAGTGGTAGAGGCAAGAAAGGAATCCACATCAGTGGCCAAGGCAGAGGTAGAAGCTACGATGAAGGCTCTTACATGAGCTCCGGTGAGGGGGAAAGGAAAAAAAAGATTTCCACAGAAAACTGTGGAATAACAGGCTTGTTTTAGGAACAGTTTGGTGGGATAAGAAACAAGAACTCTGCGATGAGACAGTATGGGAGGGAAGGGAATCTCTACCGGTAGCAGGCTTTGTGGCTGCACCTTGAGGGCAATGTTCCCAGTTGGGGAAGTTCGTCAGACCTGTGATCTGTACTATCTTGCACTGTATATGCACTGTAACAGCAATTGTTGAGGGCCTGGGCCTGTTTAGTCTCCCAACTAATGTAAACAGTTGTATCATGTGCTTCTTTTTCCTATTTCCAAAGTAATCAGTATATATAATAACTTATTGATAATTCTACATGTGATCTTAGCCAAAAGGCTGAGAAGCGATTGATAATTCTAGTATTTACTTATTACGTTTTAATACCAAAGGAGTCCTAAATTTAAAATTGGGCTAAAAACCAGATTTTGCCACATTCACAATGAAGACATTTTATACAGTATCAAGTGAATTTTAAAAAGTCAGGAAAGCAACAAGATTTTTCAAAGAGCCCATCACTTACTGAAACTAAATCTAAAGGTGTTTGTCCTTCCTGATTTTTAAGAGTAGGATCAGCTCCGTGGGCCAACAATAAAGCACAAAGCTGTGTTCGTCCCTTTTGGGCTGCTTCATGTAAAGGTGTGAAAGCCCATTTGTCCGTGGCATTGACACATGCATTATACTTTATTAGTAAAGCTGCTACATCTACATGCTGCAAAAGAAAATACTCCTGTTACAGTCTGAAATAGTTTTTTATTACACTTTAGTTCTTAAGAAGAAATTAGCTATGTATCTACTTCCACATTTTCAAACTTAACCTGGAAATGAGAAGAAAAACTTTCTCCCCAACATCATAATTTATGGCTAGCTGATCAAAAATTACACTAGAATTTCAGTAACTTAAGAAACTATCTAGGCCAGGCATGCTGGCTCACACCTGCCTCCTAGCACTCTGGGAGGCTGAGGTCATGGCACTCTAGCCTGGGCAATACATTACCTAAGCTCAGGAATTTGAGACCAGCTTAAGCAACAGCGAGATTCCATCTCTACTAAAAATAGAAAAAATTAGCTGGGCATGGTGGCATGTACCTGTAGTCCCAGCTACTCAGGAGGCTGAG